TATCTATTATATTTTGCATTTAAACGTATAAAAACTCGAATACGTTTTTCTTCAACTAAAGAAAACTGAATAATTTGTTTACCGTTGCCGGCCATCAATCGTTCGAAAACTTTATTGGTGAATTTGCAAAAAAAAAAATTACAAGGATAAAAATACTTATAGAAATTAACATAAAAAAAAAATGTGATTTATAGATACAAATTTGATATAATTTAAGGAATTTAATATTATAATCCACCTCTTAAATATATAAAAAATGTTTTATTTTTAATTTTTACCGATTTCTTTTTTAATTTCAATAGGACCCCAAAAATGTGTAGTGCACAAGGCTTCTGTTTCTTGAAATCAGGCCCTGCTTCCAACTACGTCAAGGTTGTTCCCGGTAAAATAGACCAATACACAATAAAAAAAATACCCTAAACAAAACCTCGCACTCAAACCAAATTCCTACGTTTTATGTCACACAACAAAGGTAATGTATCAGTAAAACTGCGACGTAATTGTGTTTGTTGAGATTTGTACGATTTTTATAGCGTTTTTTTTCGCTTTATTTTATGCGTTGTTTCTTTTTTCAAGTTTTACAAGGCTATACCGAACATCCGAAATTTGTGTACCTAACAATTGATTAATGATTATTGTTATATTGGTGTACGTTATAGACACACATAAATAGGTAGGTGCACATAATTAATAATAATAATTATTATTATTATAATATTTACTGGGTTCCGAATATATCAATAGAGTTGGTCATCTCCAAGTCCCGATGGTTGTACCGAGACGAGAGTTTAAATGTTAGACAAAACAATTTAATTCAAAACATCTATATTAGAAAATTAAATGACATATTAATCAACAACAAAAAAACATAGTACAATATAATTAAATGTCAAAAAAACATTTTATTAACCAGAATTCCGAAAATTTTTTTGTTGCTAAACCACGTCGTGTAGGTAACAAGGGAAAAAGCAAATGCAACAAATTAACATTACTATGTAATTTGCTTTATTCAATATATATTTATTTTACTGTATATGACATATGTATTGTTGAAAAAACAATACTATTAACCGAGCTCTGCTCAGAATCGTTTTTCGTTAGCAACGATCAATCATTGCTTTGTACATTAAATTACCCTCTTTGTGTTACTTTTCTAACTTCTCATCTACAACAGTCCATCCATCAAAGTTATGTTCGTTATTTTGTTAGAATTCAATTCAAAATGTTTGTAGTGATTTAAAATTATATTTGACTTATATTTACCTTTTCCGATTATGTCCTTAAAGTACCACCCGCAGATAGATTTCCTTTCAGAAAAAGTGTTACACTTGAAAATCGGAGCAAAATTTCTAGTAAAAATTGTTCAGAGATAAAAAAAAAATATATATATATATCATTATAAAACCAATACATTCCTCGACTTTCCGCTCAGAATCTAAAATTCCAATATTCACGGTTACGAACGATCGACACGGTTCTAACTTATAAATAATTGATAGATGACAAAACTTTTAAATCTCATACGGTGTACGCTAATTCACTAAATGATAAATGGGTATACGCCGTATCCAAAACACCACTGGACTTATTCTGCCGTACTCAGTATAATACCTATAGCCACTATATATGTAAGTATTACACTGAGCACGTAGTATACTCCTAGTATACTTGGACTGTCCTATACTGTTAAACGCCATTTTATGACGACTATTTTTAATGTATTTAATTACGTATCTGTTAAGAAAAGAAAAATTGTTTTTATGTCAACCAAACACACTTTACACTCTTAATAACGGCACACATACGTTAATGCGAACTGCTCAGTAGGTATATTTTATTTATAACTATAAATATAAATACGAATTATATAAAAAGCTTTTAACTTACCGTCATGTTGACATTCTATAGTACACAACTATAGGTAAACATTTCAAAAATGTACGTGCAATAGTAGTACCTAGGTAAGTCATAAAAGTACAATAATTATTGTAGATGTTGAAACATGGTATATATGCTAGCGTATAATATTATGTGTCCGTATTTCTTAATTTTTCGCGCCCTGATATTGAGCTAATGACCTTAATATCATAGTGGGTGCTATTTATATATTAATATATATTAGGTATACCACCACTTGTCGGCAGTGAGATTATATCACGGTTTAAGTTATTTTGTGAAAATTCGATGTAGGACGACTCGCCGACGCCATTTCACCGCAGAATAATTTTGCCGTTACCATTTCGACGTAAGACTATTTAGCGGTAAAAGAAAGAAAAGAAAAAAAGTAAATTTACCAATGTATAATTTAATTTTGAAATTTTACATATTTGTAATAATTGTTCTCTGTTAGTATGTATAAATCGTATTCATAATATTTTATATTTACTCTACTATCGCGATAAACGCACTAAAATAACATTATCGTTTTATTCGCATCGATATCTCATCTCAATGTAACAATAATAATAATAATAACATGGATTTCGTAGCATAGAGTTGATCTTAGGTAGGTATATTTTTTCTAATCCATTGCTCGTCAGTAAGTATTTTTATTTTCAATGGTCCGTACATTTCGATACACTTCATTGAAAGTATGATTTCATCAACGAGTAAAGTATATATTAACATCTAGTATGTAATAAAATATATCTTGTTAAACATATTTATAAAGACCTTCAAGTCGTTTAAATATTAAAGCGCCTGGGCATTTGAAAAAAAAAAATGGTCCGTACCAAAATGGCAGAACGTATTGTAGAAACTGATCGTCAGCGTGATAGGTTTTATGTTTATATTAGTTGCGTTGAATAAATATGGGTCTGAACGATTTTGGCCGTGTAAAAAAAGAGATACATTTAGAGATAAATTCCCCAAGTAGTTTTCAAAATAATTGGGCAAAAACATAGAAAAACCGGAAAAATGTACGAAAATAATGCATTTATTATTTTCAATTTTTTTTTTTTTTTTTTTTTTTTTTTTTTTTGTAATTCAGTTCAAATGTTTATAGACACTTTAAATTTGGACAGAAAAATTATAGGTTCTTTATGGATAAAATTGTTAGACCAAACAGAAATACTTGAAAATTTAACAAGAGTTTCATTATAAGTTGTATTTAAGAAAAGAAAAGTTTTAATGTATTTTTTATATTTTTATACGAATTTTAATATTAAATTTTGAGGAAAATCGTTCAAGTGAAACATAACATCATTAGTTTCAAGTAAAATTATAAACCTTTCTACTCAACTAAAACAATTTCATTTACATAAAACCAAATAGAAACTCGAAGATATTAAATGCCTATAAATAGGTACCTAATGAAAAATTGTCAGAATATTTTTAAAATTTTACCTTGTCTAAAAAAGATCATTATAAGTATTTTATCAAATTTTTAACTGAAATACCAAAAAGAAACAAAATAAAACGAAATGAAATTGTACATTTTCGTGAATTTTCCCGTATTCCTACGTTTTATTATTCTAGGTTTTCCCAAATATTAAGAAGACCGTACAAAAAACAAACGACTTTCTTATATTAAGTAAAATTGTTGATTATAAATTTGAAGTTTAGACTAAGATTTGCGCTGGATAAGAAAAATCGTAAAATTAAAATAATAAAACTGTTGACGCCATAAATTTGTCCGTCTTAATTCTACGTTTTTTTTTTCTTCTTTCTCCCAATTATTATTAAAACTGCTTGGAAAATCAAAAAAATGACCCGTCTAATGATCCAACTAGATCCTATATGCACGTTTTTCAGTGCCCCTAAATGAATTGAATACAAAATTATCAAGTGTACGTGACATTTCCAAGGCAATTTTCCGAACTTGCACGACATTGGTATATTCGATATGAAACTATTTCAATAATGGGGTCTGGGAACAAATTAGGTTTACACATAAATTATATCTACAGAGGTTTGTCTTCTCTTAGATTCTAAGCGCAGCGAAGAATGTATTGGTTTTACTATATGTGTTTTTTTTTTTTTTTGTGTGTGTTTATGCCAAATACAATGCCTGCGGTTTTCTATGGCTTTTAGGTCTAAAACGACTAAAAATTACACGGTCACTAAATTGTCCACTATTGTTTTTAACGGATTTTATTTATATAAAAGAAATCATCACAACGGATAGTTACGGTAAAGTTCTTGTCGTATACAATTTGCTGCAGGTTGTACCTCATACAAAAAAATTGAACGCATACAAATTTAATAATATTGTATTTTCATTTTCTTCTTAAGTAAAATATATTTATAAAATTGTACAATACGTGTGTATAGGTAGGTAAACAAATCTATCTTAATCTAATAATTTTATTGCAATACAATATTAAAAAAAATTAAAAAAACAACATTATACGTAGGTACCTATACAAAATGCGCTCAAGGTAATACATTATTCTTATATTAATATTTGCCTTATCATTAATAAGTACCTATAGGTACAGGAAATTATTTTTATTTTATTTATAGAACTATAATTGGTTATCAATATACAATGAAACCGTTATCAAGATTTCGTAATTTATTATACGACGCTGTGAATGACCGGCGAACTATACTTGAAAAACTTCGCTACAATATTGTTAGTGAGCGCGAAAATAATATCAAGTTATAGACATCCAATGAACGTACAAAAATAATTTCGTTTTAGAAAACTTTTTTTTACTAAAAAAATGTATACATATATTAGGTATACATTAAAAATTAACGATATTATACTTTATGTCGGTAACCAGTCCCATAATCAGTCATAATCATAGACTTAAAACATATTAAGTTCATAGGCGTCTACAAAAATAATTATTTAAGGGATAAATTCACAGATATTTGTCTAGGGAGGAAGGATAAGAGGGGGAGTTTAAAACAGTGAATTTTTACAATCCTTTTCAGTTTTTAATGCAATGTTTAATATATTTCTGAAAATCTGGGATGGTGCAATGTTCACTCATGGGCCACTCTGAGCGCCTATGAATAAGTCCAAAGTCATATTCCATGTAAGGATTTGTTCACACGAATCCAAAAAGTTTTAAAAACATAAAAACAATGGCCCACGCACAACACAACAAGAAGGCGTACACAAACAGCAACAGAGCATTGTGCGCTATGTATAATCTGAAAACAATTTAAATATAAACATTTAAATTTATTTTTATTTTGTGATAATAAAACATAGTTAGAGAGTTTAAATTTGATAATAACGCAAGAAGAAATAGAGGTTGCCATGTAGTAAGACAGTCAAGCCAGTAACAATTATAAAGCTAGAAGTATTTTACGTATTAGTTCAGTGATATAAAAAAATGAAGGAACATTGGAGGATGTTGTGGCCATTAGATAAGAGTATTTGACATATCTTGCGTGGGATGAGATACAGAGGAAAAATAAAAAGTGGACGTTTCGATGAGATTTACGACGAATTATTTCTGGGTGATTGAATTTTAGCAATCCTATTTGTTTCCACTAGATATACAATAAAAATTATTATGTACTGTGCAAAATGTTAATGTTTTTTTATTAAATTAGTCGACATGGTGTCAGTATCTTTTCAGAACCATTGACCCTTCTTGCACTCGGAACATCGACAACATACCACATCAGCGGTCAGTCAAAATTCATTATTATGTTTATTAATTTCTATATTTTTTTTTCAATATATAAAGTTATTGAAAATTATAGTTAGAATAATCACAATGTTATTGTAAAAAGTATTTGATTTAAGGAAATTAGTATTTTTATCCGAGTAAGTGGAAAAATATATATATCCCTCCGTACAGTATTGTTTAATGCTCGCGGGACAATTATATAAACAGATATCTGAATAAATAATCTAATAACATACTTTTCCCATTTTTTCCTGGCTGCCGGCAACGTGTGGATATCGTCTTTTACTAGGTAAACTCTTAAGCCCAAACAATGTGCTTGACTAAAGTATTCCCAAGACAATTGGTGTATATCATAGTTAAACAGTTCTTGGTCTTGCTTGTCGAGAGTATCCCACATTCCCAATAGCCTCTTGTTAATGAACGTCCATTCTTTATCCGAGAAATAAGCTAATATATCCCTTACTTTATCGATCTTTTTGTAGATTTTCTGCAGCCTAATTTTAACATATTAAAACATTTGTTCGGATTAAGTAGGTAATATTTTTAAAGTGTCTGTGGGCTATGAAACCACACTATACGTGAAATATGAAATCACACGGCATACCAAAAAGTTTTAAAGTAGATAACTTTAATGATATTTTTAGAATAGGTAGGTATGCGTTTTATTTGAATTATATTATATTATTATATATACTGACATTGGTTTTTGTCCGGCGATAACGGCTAAAATGTCCAGTAAAAACCCGGGTATTGTGTGGCAAAACATATTCAATATCGCGTATAATATTGGATTGTCGGTGGCATAAAACGAGTAATACCAGATCGCCCGAATAGTCGGCCAGTAAATACCGTGGCGTTTGTTCATATCGATGAATTCAATCCACTTAATTGGTTTTTGTCCTGCACTTGAACACGTGTAAATTGGTATATCGTTTTCTTTCCTGTAAACAAACATACATAATTTAAGTGAAATGTATTTGAAATGGGGGGAGTTATTAATTACAAACTACGTTAAAAGACAAAGAATTAAATATCATGGTCGTACAATGCGAAGAGCAAACTCAGACATATTAAAGAAAACAACTTAAATTCTAGAGGGAAAGACCGAAAGGCAGACCTAAGATATTTATGAAGTGAAAGAGAATATGTAACAACTAGGTATACCAAACTAGGAAGAGTACATTCGAGATAAAAAATTATGAAGGAATTTTGTAGCAGGTCCTTAATGAACTCTAGAGTGAAAGAAGAAAATTACATTTATTTCTTTTATGTTCTTCTGCAATTTAAAACTAATTACTTAAAAAATGAGCTGTTGAGATGCTTGTTCAAGAAAACTTAAAATCAATATTACTGGCGTTTGTTTAAAAAATACTTGTGACAGAGACCCAGGAATATTTTTAAATTTATCTGCACGTAAATGAATTCTAATATTTTGAATTCAGTAAAATTGTCTGTACTCCTTAAATAATTGGTTATTTGACGTTCCGATTACTTGAGCTAATATTATGTTTATTTCAAATAACAATTTACTCTTTTGTCGCCGTTTCTTTGGTAGCACATATTAAAGCGTTCACAACCATGTCGACTGGTATCATATCGGTGATTATATTGGGATTGCCAAAATAAGTGTGAAGGACTCCGGTACCAGCTCCAACAATGAGCCCTGTGGGGCCGTACACGTTATCTATCCAACCCCTTACCGGTTCTCGGTAAGTAGCGATCACTAAAGAAAAAAAACGAATACGAGTTAGTACAAGTATACATTATTAAACGTTAACAAAATATCAATCAAATAATAAAAGTCAAAGGTTTATAACTCAATAAATCTTAACTCGAGTATTTCTTTAACGGTTCTAATAGATACGGAAAATAGACAGCCAGACAAGTAAACATTTTACAATTTAACTACCCGTCTGACACATAATAAATATAATAATTATGATTATACCTACACTATAATAATAAACTTATTGAATAAACTTACCGACAGTGGGGCGGAACACCAGTATTGGAAGATCCTGAGCTTCTCTTCGGATTAAGTCTTCTGCTAACGATTTTGTGAACGCATAAGTATTTGGTAAATTTCCGATGATTCTTTAAAATTATTATTGTTACATCATTCATTCAAACTATTAGAGCAATTATTATATATATATATATATATACACAGTGATTCGTTTAACGTAAAAAACTAATTATTTCGCAAAGTATCACAACTTAAAAAAAAAAAAAATGTTGACAATTTAAAAACAAGCAATTCTAAAGTGTTACATTACTATTATTTTTGACAGTGAACCGACTACCTACTAATTATTTTCAAATGTTAACCTTAACCTATGAGTATACTAAAAATTCCATAAATACAGCTCGAGTCTTGCTGCACACTCCGATTTAAACTTAAAAGTGGAATACCTCGTCAACGGGTCGTCGGTAATCAAAAATATCAACTTTGACATTTATCTAAACTAATACTCTGTCTATTAATGAAATTTTTTATTTAGATTATCATTTAAAAATCAAAATTAGATTAATTTTTCACTCCCGAATAAGAATGACAAAAAATAATGGTCATGTAACATTTTAAGGTCGCTTGTTCCTTAAATCGTCAACAAATATTTTTAGTTTTTTTTTTTATTTACATTCTTTCAATGATAAAAGAATCACCTTGTGTATATTATTATTATTATTATTATTATTATTACTATTATCTTACTTGCTAGTCATTGTTTCGAGCGTTTGATCGTCGGTGGAAGCTATCAATTTTAAAACGTCTTCATAGTCGGCAGCGGGGTCGTAAAATTGTTCGTCGACCACCAAACGGTTACAGTTCGAGTAAGCGGTGGAAACGTGTGTCATGACCTAATCAATTACGAAACTTTAAAAAAATCTCAATTAACTGCTTATAGTATATTTTTAACAACAATATAATTATGACATACATTTTATTTTTATTTTTCATTAAGCGAAAAATTGTCGTCAGTACGAGAGATTGTCTTATATAATAAAAACGTGCTTTTTACGCATTTCGGTCGTAGTAATGAATAAGTGGGTTCGTCCCATTTAATATTTACTTGTATGACTAGCTGACTACGTATAAGTTATAAAACTTAATTTGCCGTTTGCGAGATAATATTGAAAAACTATTAGCCATTAGCCAACTATTACGGCACAATAAAGCCGCGAGTTATGTAAGACACGGTTTTGGAAAATATTTAATACAAATTAATAAAAACCCATTAGTACGTATCTGCAGGTAGCTACCGATTATATACTTTTTTTAAATTTAAACGATTTCATAAAAAAAAAATAAATAAATGTAAAACCTAAAACCGTTTAATTTCATCGTCGAACCACGTAAGCGGCGATATTGATTTCGTTACCTTTAAGTTGGTTATTTTTCTCGCCAAGTTTATCATCTCTCGGGTTCCGGAAACGTTTATGCTCATGGCCACGCGGATGTGTTCGTCGAACCGCACGGTGGCGGCTCCGTGAAAAATAATGTTCACCTCGTTGATCAATTTATTCCGGCTGCTGAGGCTCAACCCGAGGCCCGGCAAACTACAGTCACCGGCTATCCCAGAGACTTTGTGATAGTACTTGGGCACTTCGTACTTCAACCGTTTGAACAGCTATAAAACATAATACAGAATACAGAATACAGAATAGATACAATCAAGCGCACACCCAGGATTTTTACTTGGAGGAGGGAGATAAAAAATGTTTCTATTATCCATACACACAAGTAACCAACTACCACTAATTTTTAAATTATTATTATTTATTATTATTGTTATTATCAGCGGCCTATAGAGAATTTTTTTTTTTTTTTTTTTTTTGGGGGGGGGGGGTTGAAAAAATGCAACAAATTAAATTGTTTCGAATTTTGTGTACATTATAATCATATATTAAACATTTTATTACTATTTTAAAGTGCTAATTATTTAAAAGTTGAAATATTTAAATATTAAATATTTAAAAATTATAAATGTATATTAATTTTTCGTTTTGATGTTCTAGCAAGTTCATCTATAACATCATTGATATCCACGTTGATATCTCGATGAATTTATTTTAGTAAGGCTAAACCATTTTAAACTTATTTGTCCCGAAGAATTTCTCAAATATGTTTTCAAACGACTGAGTATTAAAAACGATAGTTCTCCAGCAGTAGACATTGGAAGTGTTATAAATATTTGAAGAAATTTAGATATTACTGACTAGTTTAGAAGTATACTTCAATAGCATTTTTGTTCTTGAGTTCGGAAGATATTAGATTTGAATATTTGTGTACCACAAATCTAATTCTCCGTTTAATATATGATCATTTCAATTTGAATCGTTACACTCATCAATTATACCTTGATATTTTTCTACTAATTATTTTAATTTACATTTGATATCTTCAGATATTTTAATTTCTATCTTACTTAAAATACAATCAAAATTATTCAAAACAATCATGTGTGATATAAATCTTTCGTTAAATTGATCTAAACAACTATCTATAAAAGGTATGAATACTTAAACAAATATTCTGGATTATCTGATTTAGATTGACACGGCAAAGTAATAGTAATATCAAATTTTTCACAGACAGTTATTACGGAAAAAATAATTGTTGAAACTCCACATCACAATTTTCTTTAATATCCTGAATATTATTTTGAACATTAGCAGCTTCTAATGCAGTTTTTAAATCAAGATTTACTGTTTGAAGATATCGGCTAAGTGGAAAACTTATGAAAAGTACTTTCACTAAAGTAGATAAAGCTGTTTGAATTTTTAACTGTTTTATCTCAGTAAGAAGATGGCTTGCAGAACTAGAAGTGTCAGAATCTGTCCAAAATGTAATTATGTAAAAAAATTAAAATTAATTACATTAAAAATGTAATAATTAAAATGTAAGTATTTTTTTTTTATTTCGAAGATATTTCGGGGGGGGGGGGGTTCGAAAACCCTCTAACGCCCTCTAGATATGCCACTGATTCATAATACCTACTTAAGTAATCAGGAAACCTATCTGTTGTTAAAATTGGATAGATATTTTGAATAAAAGTTTATAACTAATCTTTATTGTTGAATTTTTAATTTAATTTGTGCCTGAGAAATTTGTTCTTTGGTTTTCTTTGTAGTTCTTTTGATAACTGAGTAAAACCGTAAAATATGTAGAAAGAACGGGGAAATTTAAATAGTTGAATTTTTGATAGAAAATTTATATTTGCATTTCCTGACATGATAAAATCGTCGAAACATTTGAGCTATTTTTAGACATTTACATTTCACGAGTTTTTCTATGTAGTTTTTATTTGGTACCGTGCACGGTGAATATAATTTTTAGGCTAAACAAAAATTACCTACGACAATGACCGCAACCATCCCCTGTATCGTCTCTTCATTTATTATCATTGTAATAAATTTAATTTTCCCGATGTGAAATACATCGTCAATATTATGATATATATAAAAAAAAAGGTCATGACGGGAGAGGCAAACGTGTCCCCCTCCCTTCCTGCTCCCCCCCACGAGGACGTCCCTCCCGAGCGGCGTGAATTGTTTAACGTCCACTTTAAGCTTCCTGACGATGACGATATACGAGATGTCCAAACAGGTTTCGATGATGGATTTAATGTCGGTTCGCCTCGTTAACGATCGCCGGCATTATAAAACATCAACTCTCATTTATGACGTGCGATAAAACGGCCCGACCGTTAAAATACACGTAATGTACGGGCGTTAAAATTCATTTTTCGCGTAAAATACGCCCCGGAGCTGCAAACGGAATATTTCTCATACGCCATAATAATGTTACGACGATATCGTATTGTTCAGTACTGTCACCACAATATACTAAACGAAATACCGACACTCGACAGCGTGTACATTATTATATTATGTTCGCCGTCGAAAACGTTTATGTCTGACAACATTTTCCATTAAAATTTTTACGTTATTTCGTATTCGACGCTCGTAACGGGTACCTATACTATATTATTCTATTATTATTATTATTATTATTATTATTATTACATCGTAATGCCTGTCGAATTTCGCCGTCCGAACGCTGGGTGATGTGCGCAATAATATTTTTAATCGTATTTTGGAATACATTGCGGTCGTTGTTTAATACTATAGACGCGACGAATACGTAAGTTTGCGTAAAATATTCTTTAAAAGTCCACTGACCTATATAACGATATTATTCGTACAGAGTAGAAAGTATTTTATTATGTTGTTCGATTGAAAACACTTACACCGAATACCGAACGAAAATTCAAGGCCACTCTTACACGCGGAATATAATTGTGCAACCGAATGAACTCGATCGGACAACTTAATAGAATGCATGTACGCACGTAAAGTGATGAAATTTTGTTAATCTCCACAAAAATTAAACATGGTACCGATGTATAGGTACTGCAGATTATAATCGTTTGTTAATTTTTGACTATAAGTATAGTGTAAACATCGAATAGATAGGTCATGCAATGAAATCATTTTTATCTCGGCGATTTGAAATGTTTAAAAAACTCGTTGTAGGTAGGTTACATTTGAAAAAAGGAATCATAATAATAATTGATTTTGTCAGCAATTAGTCAGCGTAAACAAGTGTGATTATAATAATAATACACGTGCAGCATGTGAAAGTGTTAATTCACGACGGATTTTATGAAACGTGCCTGTACGACGAAACGTACGTTTTTTGTAACTCTATCGATGTTTCGAACGATATTCCAAACGTTTTTCTTATGGTTTATACATTTGTGATGAACACAGTCAAATATATAGTTGATCGCATTCGATCTATTCCATAGATTAATTTATGGAACATAGATGGTTTTCTCGAATAAAACTTTACAGACGCGGGTAAACATATTCAAATATCCGATCATTCGTCCAGACTACCGAAATCTGTTGATACTATATAAGCTATTCGAATATGTCCATCACTATATAGCGTATACATGTCTGAAAAGGATAACAATATCGGCAATTGTTATCGTAATGTAATCGATCGTTTCTATACATTATTATATTTACCCTGTCTTCGAAGATATCCTCCAACCGTTGGTCGACGTTTTTGCCTTTTTTCGACCGGATCAACAGATATATGTGCTTGATGTGAGGACACGATCTCAGTAATTTTTCCAACAGCACCTTTCCCATGAAACCCGTGCCGCCGGTCAACAATATCACCGCATCCCTGAAAAATTCCTGTATCGGCGTGCCGATCTCGGACTCGTCCACTTCGCGAGGCTCGTTGAAGCTCCGCTCTCCCAGAAGCTCCAGCGGATCCAAGTAGTACTTGGAATTCACGATGTCTTTGATGGGCACCAACGGCGCGCTGTCTTGTTTCTTTTCAATATATTTTCGGTGCAAGTCGAGAGCCATTTTGTGAGACTGCCGTGGCCACACGTCTGCAATGTAAGTTGATACTGTAAATAACGAAAACAAACTGTTGATTAGTGGGTATATATTTTTGACGGCAGTGGTATGTTTGAGTGGGAAGAGAAATTAGGGAAATATATGCCACCCACCTCCCCCCCCTCAAGAAATTTTTTTTGGTGGATATTATTTATATTATTACCTATTTTTTAAATCTCTTAAATTTCTTTACTTGAAGTAAAAAAAAAAAACAAAAAAGAAATCGATGCTTGTATTCTAATATACCTATCAAAACACTCTGAATGTATCTCAATCTTCAGGTGTCTGTGTATGTACATTTCCTTGTTAAAAACAAAACCTATTCGAAACACTATAGTATGAAAAGGCTATAGAATAGTAAATAAACTAATTACTAATACGTAGTGTTACTTTGTTTCAATGATAGTTATAGGACAGATAGATTTATAAATTACATACAAATATACATTAATTTAAAATGTATCTTTTTTTAAATTCGAAGGGATTTATTGTTTTTACTATGATGTGTGTGTGTTTTTTTACAAGCGTTTTAAAATCACATTTTGAAGAAAATCTTAAAAATTACGGCATTTAAAAATATGTCTTAGGTACTAACGAACTTTGCTCCGAATCATTTTTTGTTATCAACGGTTTTTCTTTGCGTAAATATATAAATTAAATAACTTTATATATCCTACTATCCCAACTTCCCAATTGATACGGTTCGGTACATGTTTAAATTGAAAATAAAAAATAATTCTAGCAATCAATAAACAATACCATACTTGTAAGTACACAAATATTTTGTACGATAATCGATGTTTATGAAATTCAACCATTAAAGTGTGGTTCACACAAGATTTTTTGCACCTACCTATTATGATATGAAAATTTAATTTATTTTTGATGATTTCTGGGTTACTTTAGCGACACGATTGAAATAATTTGGGGGGGAGGGGGCATGTTAAATTTAATTTCATTTATTAGTTTCGGTTTTTGAAATGATTGTTCTATAAAAATTTTGTTTTTAATTATTCAATAAAAATGAACAATTTAACGCCCCGTCAAATTCCAAAAGATTTCAATGCTTTTCGAGATGATGCGTTGTGATCATCCTGTACCATGTTATCAATAAACAATTTATTAATTTTCACAAAATATACAATATTATAATGTAACCATTTCATGAAATAAATAACTACAATCCATATCATTGTCTATTATTCTGTTATAAACGCATGAGCCGAATGGATTTCAAAATATCGACATTCCTATTGGCGATGAGATTGATTTCACCATTGATTCCGTAATACATACAGGTATCAACTAAAAAATCAATTATTTCGCCCAATAGAAATTATATTATATAGTATAGGTAATTTACATATCACTTATTAATATTAATTAAACTATTCAATTTGAAAATGTCGATCTAAATCATAAGCGTGCGCACGGGTGCAGCACATGCAGCCTAGGCTGCATGTGCTCTTTCTGTGACGCCAATTTTTTTTCCGTTTTTCTGTTTGTTCGTGATACAAGTATACTTTATGTTTAAAATTAAAACCGTGATAAAAAATTACGGTGGTATAAATAAATAATAATGGATAAACAGTTTTGTGTTATGTAATAATCTAAGACCGTGTTCCGGTGTTCGGTACTTTTAGAATTGAATACGACATCAAACCATTTGAACTATAGATAATACTATATATTTGTACTTCATATACAACTTTTATGCAAGATAAGTTATCAGCTACTAAGATAATTAAATATTAATGAATGATGGACAATAATAATTGATTTTTAGTATGCATATTTTTTCTTTTTGTCCAAAGTTATATTTAATTATTTTTAATTTATTATTTAATGAGTGAAAAACAAAAAAATAAAAAATAATAATTTAAAAACCCACGATTGAAACTTTAATTGGATTAAAACGAAAAACATCAGTTAACGCGAAATACATTTTTAATATGCTAACTTCTGTGTTACAACAATTTTCTAAAGACTGGTCTACACTTTTAACTGTTTGTTTCGATGGAGCTAGTACAATGTTTGGTAGTATATCTGGAGTGCAAGCAAGATGTAAACAAGAAAATAATAATATATTTTATAACCATTGTTTAAATTTAGCATTGATTGATAGCATTTGATAAAAATCCAATACTAAATCAGGCTTAAAAAATAGCTATTTTTTTTTCACTCTCTTGGAATAGTTTAACTTGTTTATACTTTTTAGTTAAACAGTCCCATTAGGCATGCGTTGGAAAACATAGCAAAAGAATCTAACCAACGGTTTTTAACTTTAAAATCACTTTCAACTACTCATTGGGCTTGCAGGGCTATAGGTGTTTCTTCTATTAAAAAAAATTATAATATTATATTGTCAGCTCTACATAACATCTGTGATGACTGTACTGTACCAGAAATTCGAGTAATTGATAAATGGATTACATTCAAGGTTCACTCAGGAAAGTCTTAATATGATAAATACTGTAGGCAAAATGTTAAATTTAGAAATACATCAAACTAATCTCTATGAAGTACTACAAAAGATATTTTTAATCTCACATGAAGGATTTGTTGCTAATATAAGGATTTTAAAAAGCAATCCAAATGTTCCAAATGGATCATCAACAAAAACAGTTTACAAAAAGCAGACTTTTTCAAAGAAAATCAAAGACAAAATGTATTTCCAAATTTCAAAAAGATTTTAATAGATATTGCTACCATACCTGTCACAAGCTGTAGCTGTGAGAGGATATTTTCTAAATTACCTATTGTAAAATCAAAACTTCGAAGTGCTATGTTGTAAGAAAAACTGAAATTCTGTTTATGATTGTTTGTTGAACAAGAAAATTTAACGAACAATCAGATTGAAGAAGTAATTGACGAATAATGAAATATAGAATAGACTAGTATTATAAGCTTATAAAATAGGCGTATTGACTAACGAGTATTTAAAAGTTAAAATGTAATTGTTAAAAATTATTTAATTGCATTTTCTGTAAAAAAAAAAAAACTTGTTTTGAATAAAATAAATAGCTATTTATTTTTGGCGTTGGCAAGTATACAATGTGCCTATTGGCTAGAAATTTGCTGAAAATGTTCCTTAAATTAAAAGTTATCAACAGACAATTATCAACGAAATAGAAATATGTGCTGCACTTGATCGGAAACTCTACGCACGCCTATGATCAAAATAATTGTTATTATCTTGAAAAGAAAAATAACAATACAAAAACCCGGTTTATTATTTTTTTTTACTTTATCAATGACAATATCGTAAAAATTATATAACAGTCGTACAGAAGTCCGAATTTTATCGGAGACATTTTAGGACAAATATATTGGATTTGTACGTGTATCGCATAAATAGCCGCGGTGATACTGTTGCAGTATTATATATTCGGGCTATCGGTTTCTTTTAGAGAATTATATAATATCATATTATTTATTAGTGATAATAGTACGAACACAACACGTCGTATAATGTGTAACAATATTATTGTTTGGCACCTGCATCGGACTGCATGCATTATGACAATAATTATTCTTCATGATGAAAATATATTCCATTTACACAATTTTTTCCCTCATAATTATTTACATTTTTAATTTTTAATATAGAAAGGAAAAACAGGAAGAGTTATATATACCAGAAAAATATTACACAATGAAATACACAATCGGTCATATATAAATAACGATCGTTGTTAACGGGTCACATAAATTATTCGAATCGATCGACTTCCTTAATAATAATTACTGATTGAATTATTAAAACGACAACTTATAATTACTTAAAGTTTAATATATTTCCCCCCCCCCGTTTTAGTTGATCGTTGGAAAAAATATCGTTTTCAATAGATAACACAATCACAGCCTTCTTATATTTATCAACAATTATTTATCACGATCACCCGAGGACGGCTCCGGAAACTTGATTGGGGAAGGCCAGATCATATTTTTCAGAATCACCGTTATTTTGCTGTGTAGGTTTTTTTTATTTTATTCAACACACGCGCAACAAACGTAATCGAACGGCGCGAAATGCCGACCGGGGCGACGACGAATGATGAGCGCCCAAGGTACGACAACCGCGAATCGTTACCGCGGCAATGGAGCGTCTGTCTTAAAAATACGACACCATGTAAACATAAAAAAGCGCGACAACGGATCGAAATCGACTTATTTCGTACGCCTATATTTTTGATGAGAAAAAAATCATAGCGCGCCGGTTTCGGCGTGCGAGATGGCGGTTATGAAAATGTCGATATACAACACGCGATATAGAATAGAGTGATTTTTCGAGACCTTTGGTCCGCCCGTGGAAACGAGGTTGCAGGAAACCTTGGACGAGGTTGTAAAAACGATATCATTAAATATTATACACGCAGCGAGTCTGTTTACCGCGTCTCTTTACACGTTTTCGTCGTGTTCTATGTAGTGCGATTGCGTCTGCGTAATCAATGCAAACATTAAATATTACATTAGTATAGGTACCGCGTGGTGGAAATATCAATCCCCGAGAAATCACATTATGGTCGCAACGATATCACAATCGAACAGAAGGTTACATAAACTGCGGTAATTCATAGTTGTCGTACGACTTCGAGTATTTATTTTTTATTAGTTTTTTTGAATTCTTAAAACTCGTTTCATTTAACCTTCTGTGTGTTTGAGTTCTTTTTTTTCTAATTGTTCGGTTTTATATTATTTTTTTTTTCATTTCAATTATACGTAACTATAAAACTTTAATACAATTACAATCTAATTACGCATTCAAGATAATTATACCGATAAAGGTTATCCCTATAGATACGAATCATATCAACTATTCACATAATTATCTAATAAAACGAAATTGTTGTTTTAATTATTATTATTATTTTTTTTTTTTTTTAAGGAGATATCTTCAAAAAATCAAACATAATGTTATATACATTGGCGTTTAGCAAAGCATATACTGCAGGTATTAGAAGTTATTAATTATAATTGAGTATTGTCTATTCAAACGCCTAATTGATAAACTATAATTAGGCTTTTTTTTTAGAATGTAGGTAAATACCTGTATAATACACAATATTATGTATACCTATAAAGCCAAGCAATATATATATATGGTACACACGATGCATATCGTATAATATAAGCGAATAAAATACAGGTACTCGTTTTCTATACGTCGCCGCCCGGAATCGAAACGAATAGCCAATACCGGCGAAATGGAGAATTTTCGGTTTGAAAAAAAAAAAACAGAAGACCGAAAAAATAATCCTGCCACTCACCCGGGCCGATACAAGCCGGCATTATATAACGATGATAGAAAAAAAAAAAAAAAATTGCATACACGAATATTTACGGCGTACGTAAGTTCGATACGGGCGGTGGACGGTGTAAAAATCGTGCGTGCTTACCTCCGGGCGAAAAATTCGTACAAGCGTATCGAGGAGCTACGGCGACGGCGGTCGGCTGCACTGCAGGTGCGCTCTTCGGGAGTCCGGACGCGTGCAGAAAGAACGGACTGCGACGAAGAACTGTGTGCGACCGTTTGGCAGCCGTGAGACCGAACGCGCCGCGCGATTACCGAGCGCTACAGAAAACTGGATAACGTATTTATTATTATTATTTGTATAGTGTCGCGTGTGAGAGCGTCAAGGTCCGTCGTACCCGAGACGTATTTTTTTTTTCGCGTGAGACTCGACTCCCGTTTATGGCGTTATGTTACGCGAGCACAACCTACGCACAATAACAATATAATACATACGTAATACGCGCTTGACAGGTGAGGGGGTAGGGGGTGGGGGGTTACGGGAAACGTTTCGCCCGAAGCTATAACTATCATGGTATTGTTATTGGGATAGCGGATTCTTAAGTTCTTAAAAGTTTAAAAATATGATGCTTTAAAAAAAAAAACCTTTAAAATATTCTCTTAATATTCCTTAAACATTGTGAAATATGCTGAAAATATAATTTTTTTTTTTTTCATTTCAAATAATTGGTAGAATGATTGTACACAAGTTACAATAAGAAATATTTTTTGTATAATGTTATATGCCTACATAAAATTGTACATTTTACCATTAATATCACACCTCAATTTTCACTGTACATGATATACTTACATTTGTTTTTTTTTTTTTTTGTCGTAGGTGTTCGAAATCGAAATTAACTGATGACTGATCATCAAAAGTTATAAATCTTTGAACTGTATACAGTTTACTTATCTATAGATTATAATCATAACTAATCGCACGCAACTCGACTCAGTTAAAAAAACCGCGCACGTATTATCGACCAACATCACTCTTTTTTTTTTTGACACGCAATTTGAATGCAGCTAATATAATCTCATATGCAATATTCACAGTGACAAATCCAACCGCCGTTTTTCCAATTTCAATGCACCTACAACTTCGTTAACCGATGCGACATACCTCTGTGTTTATCGAGGAGAGACATATTTAAAATTTTTGAAGTTATAATTTTAAATGATAAACACAAAACTTTGTAAATGGGACATTGGGAAGGTAGAATACATAGTTATTTAGTTTATATCTGTATAAGCAATATGATAAACCATTCCTAACGAAAAACGATTAGGAGCGAAGTTCGGTTATACATGATTTGAAAAGCCTTAATATTTACGATTGGTCAAAATTTGATATTAAAAAAATTTTATAAAAAAAAAATACTATATTACATTAATTTTTAAAATTTTTTTTTTTTCGATCACTATAAGTACGATTTATAATGAACCTCATGTTAAATTTTTGAGCATTTCTGTTCGGTCTAACAATTTTATCTACCAAATAAAGGTACACCACGTAAAATTAAAATGTAGTAGTGTACCTGTAGGTGTGGTGGACAAGGGGGCATTCTTTCCCCTCCCTCCCATGGGCCGTATAATTATATGTGTGCATTGTTATTATTGTTTTTAGAATTATTATGATATTTTTTTTTCCAGGAAGTATAGTTAATAATTTGATAACATGGTCAAAGCCATAGATATTCAAATATTTGTGTTATGTTCGAACCGGGTCAAGGTTTCTAGTGATATCATTACATTTTGGCGGTTCGACCGTTGTCTGCTATCATTGATTTCTAATTACAAAACAAATGTGCCAAGATCGCTCACGTGAGTTCGCACTGTTTATATTGTACCAGGAAATAAGTATATCAGTGGATATCATTGAAAGATTCTCTACCATGAAAGACCGGAGATGAAGCTTTATGTTATAAATGTATAACATGCGTTATAATATTATATTTAATTAAATACAAATGTATTATATTATGTCTTAAAATGTTCTAGTTTAAAAATATAAAAGAGCAGCCCAATTCCCATGACTATTAATAACATCGTTGTATACTAATTAATTGTTGTAAATTGTGTATTATTAAAATTCTATTGTAGTAATATTTCTGGTAAAAAACCAAAAGCGTAAATATTTAAAACAATGGAATCGTAACGCCGTAAATGTGTCAGTTTTAATTTTAAGTTTTTTCTGGTTATTCCCAATCATTGTGAAAACCCCTGAAGGTCAAAAAGTGACTTCCTACCAAAACCAACTACATAAAATTTCTTTTCAGAAGAGGCGCTACACTTGATACATCGGAACAAGTTTTCTGATATAAAAGTTGCTTATAGACACATAATAAAAAAATAATAATATAAAACACATATTTTAGTAAAATCAATAGATCCCCTCGCTGGCTGCCGCGTTCTGAATCTAATTATGGTAATGATAATAATGTAACCAGTAGTTTTAAACAACTACTGGTTACAATAATTTAAAAAATGATATGCTCAAAGTGGTTTATTAAAATCATAAAAATACTGATGAACGTTAAAATAGTTCTTTATTATGGATTTAAAAAATTAATTAGTCGTAAATTTGTCCGTTTTTTCCGATAGTAGTGCCAGTAGCGGAGCAACATTTGTGTGGACACACGGCGGGTGGCGTTTTAATAATGCATCACTACTCTCCCCTGACCTAAACTTAAAAAATAAAAGTAGAATATCTCATCATCGGATTGACGGAAATCAAAGATTACAACAGTAAAATTTATTTTGTACAATACTCCATCTAGTTATATAGTTTTTAATATAGGTTGACATTTGAAAATCAAAAGTAGGTAGTGGTTTTACCCCCGAAAATAAGGGTGACAAAAAAAATAACATAAATGTAAAATTGTAGAACTGGTCGCGTCTTCAATGTTCTATAAAACAAATTTCGAAAAAAAGTTAATAATTTTCGAGATAATGAGTGTCTTACAACAGATTGATCGCCTTATATAAGATAGTTGTATGCCCGTCATGCATGGCAGGCTATATAGACTTACAGTGGTCATTTAATTATTTAAAATGGCTTTTGCTAAATCAAAACGCCGCAAATCTTTATGGCGAATTTTTTTTATATACGAATTTTGACGAAACCATTGTTTTATTTCGTTTTAAAATGTAATCACACGGATAGGTATACAAAACACATGAAGATTTTTTCATAATACTAAAAATTAATATCTTCCAGAAGTATCATATATATACATTATGCAAAAGTATAATTATATATATTTATATATTTGTGTTAAAAAAAAAAAAAAATAATAATTTTAAATTTAATTGCCATGTAGTAAATTAGCAGAGCGTTCTTAAAAGGTGATGATAACAGTATCGTATTAGAGGGAGCAATCGCCTTCCTGAGACATTATATTTACAAATCATATTTTATGTTTGTTGACCTTATAAGCAGTGCTAAATTTAATCTAAATAATTTTTTTTCATAAAAAATGTTCGTTATTGTTTTTTGAAGGTATTCGTATTGATAACAGATAACATTATGTTCACGGATTCACGATCCACAGATGATGATATCACCTGCGTTTTTCAGCTTCTCCGCGCTTAGAAGATTTGAATAATTGAATAAATGTGTTAATTAAAAAGTACTAATATTTAAATAGATATTTGTAATGCCTTTCTAACAACCTTGAAACAAATGTCTTTATTATTCGGAGTGTGGTAAATTTTTTAAATGCTTAAAATTACACATAATTTAGTTTTTAGTAATAATAGTTAAATTCTCTCCATTCTCTTTTTGATTATTACTCGCTTAACATCCACATTTTTACTTAACACTTTCTTATTATTTATATCCTTTATTACTCATATTTGCTACTTTTATTATTTTGTTAAAAACTTGGCCGAGATAGAAAATGGATCGCTTAAAGAGTTAGACATTACTTAATATTCATAAATCAATTGCATTAAATTTTGATGATATCATTAATAGATTTTCAAATACCTATTAAATAAAAGAAATATAGATCTTGTTTTGTAAATAAAAATGTGCTGTATGTTCCGCTCTATGGATATAACAATACCGTGTGGTCTATGTTGCTAAGCTTTAAATGTAATGTATTAGTTTTTTTTTATTATTAAACGTAATATTCTCTCTCGTTTGTCTTATTCGTTTTATTAGTGCTATTCACGATTATTGTAGTCTACATACGTATACCTATACGGTTTCATCAATGCCTTCCGCAGAGATTCCTTTCGAAATGATGGATCACAAGACTATCGACGAAGGTAACGTAAACACGTACACTTATATTTATACAAACTCATAAATTTAAATTATGGCACCAAGATGTAATAATAATTTAAAATATATATATAAATGTATATTGAATGTAATATAGGTTATTTTATTGAATTAAAAATGTTATTTCATTCGTTAAATAGTTCTGTTACACTCTGTATATGACCATTATTGTGTGTTAAGTTTTAAATTTCGTAAATACATATTATTATTAATATTTAGTTACATTTAAAAATATTATTTAGTTGTTACATCTGTTTATGTTTTTCAATAGAATATCCAAATGAAACCGATGTTATTGAACTATTACCATGTTCAATATGTAATCGCTCGTTTCGTTCAACTTTATTACCACGTCATTCGGTTATATGTGAAAAAAACGCCAAAACGCGCAAAGTAAAATTCGATTCATCTAAACAACGTATACAAGGTACTGAAATGGCCGCTTTTTTGCCAAAAATGAAAATGAAACAAGATAAATTCGTTGTTGCCCAACCTAAAACAAACTGGAGAGCTAATCACGATGAGCTCATTAGAACTCTGAAATCGGCAAGGGGTGAAAAAGTTGATAATACATGTATTATAACAAAACCTCTTGATAGTGAACAATGTCCTTATTGCAAGCGCAATTTCGGGCCAAAATCATATGATAGACATGTAGAATTTTGCAAAGAAAAAACTCAAAGAAGACCCTCTGGACCAGTGATAAACCTTGTGGCCAAAGAACGACTTGAAGCAAGAACAAAAGTTAGTATGTTATGTTTAGTTTAAAATACTGTAAACCATAATCCAAATTTTATAAGTACCTGTATTTTTTTTTTTTTTTTAATTATTTCATAGCTTTTAATTTTAATAATTATTTTTACTTATTCGTGTTTTATTAGTACCGCGTGTCTCCAATTAACTCACAGCTTACATTTATTATCAAAGATAAATGTCTTCCAAAAACTAAAACTCCTCAAATTGTTCCAAGTGACCCATCCAAAGTAATAAAACCGTTACAAAATGTTAAAAAACCAATTTCTTCGGCAAATGGAAATCTATGTAAGTGTAATTTAATAAGTTTTAGTATTCATACCTAAGTTTTATTATATAGGTTCTATCAATATTTCATAAAGTTTTCAGCCAATTAAAACTTCTCACAGTATAATTGGTATAACTTATGGAAAAATAAATTTTTTAAATTTGAAGAATAATAACTTTGTAATTTATGATAGTATTATTTTTACATTTATGTATTTGAACTTTTTTTAAGAATTCTTAAAAATTATGTAATACATTATAACTATAAAGACGAAATAGATACCTACTGCACAAATAATATTTAACTATAGATTCTACATAGTTAAATTATTTTATTAAAACACAAAAACACAGGCAAAAAACCTAATTTATTTTGTTATGCTTCATAAATTGTGTTAAAAAAATTATTTTTACAGCCAATTTTTCTCGTTTATCTTCCACGGTTTCCAAAAATAAAGACCAAATATCAAAAAGTTTCTCTGTGTAAGTTTTGATGTTATATATCTACTTTATTATTTTATTCTACTAAACTTGATCTTCATAGTAATAAGAATGCAGTGAACTTACCACAAAAACCAGTAGTTGAGAAAAAAGAAACAGTTGTGAAAAAGTCAGGTTATCTTTATTTGCGCAATTCTCGTAATCAAGTAAAACCAGAAACTATTCAAGCTGTCAATATGCATGACAAAAAAAATATATCAAAGTCATGAGTGAAAAATAAAGTGTTATACTTACTGTGTTTAAATATTATATTAAAAATATATTGTAACAATTGTTTATACTTGAAATATGATATCTATATATTGGTACATAAAAAAAGACCTCAGAGACCCCAGCTAAATGTCTAACGAAGCTAGGCATCTAATTTATAATAAAATATGCAAATCTATATTCGTTTATGTCAATAATTGACATTAATTATTAATATAAGTGTATGTGTAAGTCTAATAATATCTAAGTCCGATTTTATTTTTATTGTACATAAATCAGGATTGTGATCTTAATTTTGATAGATCGATAGCCACATATGTTGATGACACCTGTTTATTATTTACTGACATTTATTGAGATAGTGTTCATAATAAAGCCACAAAATGTATAAATGCTTAACTGAAATTTAACTCTAAATGATAAAAAAAACAAATTATACGACTTTTCCTATAAATTAAACATCTGCAAATTTTAACACCATAATTTTACATAACTGATGAAGGCATAATTTTTAATCAACTCAGTTATAAATCTATCAAGGCAGTGACAAGAATTCGTAATATGGGTATTATCTTTGATAATCATTTAAGATGGAACCTTTTACATACTCATAATTTAGTAGGTAAATTACGATCATTAACTTATAAATTTGTCACTAAAAAATTTGATTAATAAACAGACAATGCGTATAGTTTACTTTGCTCTATATCAGTCAATTTTTCTATATGGATTATTAATATGGGGTGGTTTAGGTATTAGTGTACTAAATAAGCTTCAAACTAATTAAAATAATATTATTAGAATCGATATGTAATATCGATAATTCTCGTAATTCCAACGAGACTTACATGTTGTGTTCTAATTTATAAATCTTTATATGACATATGTTGTTAGAACATTATTCTCTTTTTGAATCGGAGTTTACAAAATATATTATTTGCACGATTTTTTCGAATTTAAACTCAAATAAGTACAATTTGTAAGTCGAAATTAGAGAAAAATGTAATATCAAAAGAAAAAGCATAATTTTTTCTATAATATTTTGAATTCAATCAGAGATCTATTCTGAATTATTTTAAATATAATTTGAATATAAAATAATCCTTGTATCGCAATACTACGTAATTTGCACGATTTTTTCAAATTTAAACTCAAAAAAGTACTATTTGTAAGTCGAATTTAAATAAAAATGTAACTTCAAACGAAAAAGCAAAACTTTTTCTATAATTTTTTGCATTCACTTATTGGTCAATTGTAATTTTTTTTAAATAAAATTCAAAATAGACCACTAAGTGAATACAAAATATTATAGAAAAAATTATGCTTTTTCTTTTGATATTACTTTTTTTTAGTACTTATCCGAGTTTAAATTCGAAAATAACGTGTAAATTACGTAGTATTAAGATACAAGGTTTTCTTTATATTCGAATTTTATTTTAAAAATTTCACAATAGATTACTAAGTGAATACAAAAAATTATTGAAAAAATTATGCTTTTTTGATTGATATTTTTTTTTTTTTTTTAATTCGATATACAAATAGTACTTTTTTTAGTATTTACAGGCTATATATTTAATCAAATCTAATTTATCTTTATTGCAAAAAAAAGTTGCAATATCGATTGAATCCGGTCTTTACTTATAAGTCTTGAACAGTAACATGACGGGTCGTTATGCGACAGAAAACTCAACCAGATGAATTGCTCAAATCTTCCACTTCAGGAGTAGTTTCTATAGGTAGCAATTTTAGTCTACTAGATGAATTTATGAAGTCAATATTTAGTTTTATTTGTACTTAATATAATTGAAGAAAACCTGAATAATCTTCAAAAAAGGAAAAATATTGGAAAAAAGTTTAAAATGAATCTGAATTATTACGGTAAAATTTTTAACTTGTATTTTAACATTTTAAACTGCTTTTGAATTTTTGATTGTCTAACACCTATTTGAAATTTTCGTGTTTCAATTCATTGCAATGGTACTAAAAAAATAAATGATTCCAGAAGAAAAAGAACCGGGACCTTTTGAAAAGGTTGAAACAGAGACTTCATTGAATTTCTTAATTAAATATTTCGGAAACATAAATCTTTATTTTAATATTTCAGAGATCGATACCAAAACCTTTATTTTTAATTTTTTTAACACGAAATTTATTATAACACAGAAATAAAGCATTGCAAAATCAAAGCGATTTTATTTAATTCATAAACGTGGTCATTATAAATTCTGTCATAAACTACATCATTGTAATACCAAAGGCACGCTTAATTAATTTTTCTAAGTTGAAAAAACATAATATGTTGTTGAAATTGGCATATGATTTGCAATTATTCAATTTTTATTATACGGACGTCTCACATTGTAGCTGTACTTAATACTTGATAATTAATATTATTATTCATAGGGGCAACTATAGGCAGCCCAACATATTGCAATAGTATACCAATAGGACGCTAGAGTACGTTTCTGTGTGACGTGGTTTTTAAAATTTCGCATTTTTTGACTTTCCGTATACTGATGGTTCACAATTTGCTACGTCATGCGTTTATTAGACGAAGACAAGAAATGCAAAATTATCGTCCCCTTAATAAATCTACTGGCATTATAAAAGTTATTCAATATACATTTACCAGCTGTCTTATCCGGCGTTTTCCGTGCCAATTTTTTATATTTTTTTTTACCTACTGGACCAATTTTCAAATTTGTTCTATAGGTTCGTTACGTTGCCACGGTTGACCAATTAGTTTTTCATTTTTTTGTTTTCAAGTCAATGGTTACTTAAAAGCGCTGAAAATAACGTACCGCCTTGTATACGTTTTTGTTGATTTAAAAATTACCTTAGTTACACAGAGAAAAATAAATATTATTATTAGATGGTCTCACTTTTACTTTTAAGTTGGAAAGTTGAATGTATGTGTATGTATGTATATGCAATGTGTATATAGGTGCCGGATGATAATCTCTGAAACTGCTTATCTGATTCTGAAAATTCTTTCACTTGATGTCTTACCCATCAACCTAAATTTAGCCACAGGGCTCTTCAAAAACATGCCATAATCGATTAATGCGATATTAGTTTGGGTTAAGTTTGGACATTTTCGTTATATTATTTAACAAGATGACGAGAATTTCGGAACAATTTTTTACTTTTAAATACACGTAATTACCTGATGAATACGCGCGACTACAACTGCTGTGCCCATGTCTACTTACCGAGAAAATCGCATAATTAATGAATTTCAGGTACATGCGAAAAGTTCTAAGAATCTCGAAAATAAAATTTTTATTATAAAATCATTTTTTAGAAAAAATATACAAAATCGTATCCACATAGATGACACAAATATTTCATAAATTATAGTAATCGTGTTTAATAATAGAAAAAAAAAAACATTAATTTATTGGGTTCAATGAACACCTACTCGCATATTGCATTCTATTTCATTATACGAAAGAACGTCTGGTATAAATACAATACAATTGTGTTCCGGCTATATTTATAATATCTATAGGTATTATATTTATCTTTAGTGTTTATGAATATAATATTACCCCCAACAAAACGCACTCACAGTATAAACACTCCAAAAGAAAAACCAGATAAAAAAATAATGAAGTATTCTTATTTTTTAACAATCATACGTTTAAATTAATGTACATATTTTATAATAAAACGTGGTAAGTAACGCGCCGTAAGTCTAATGATCAGTCGATACGTGACATTAATACTATTTTAATCGACGTGTAAAGGAATAGATTATTACATGAATCCGATCAATTTGAGTAGTACAAAACCGGCGACCCCCGTACAACACGCCAAGAAGGCGTACACGAATAGTAATAACGCATTGTGTGCTATGTATAACCTGCAAATGATAAAACGATATTATTATAGCGAAAATTAATTTATATTAATTATAAAATTGTATTTTTAAAAAAAAATAAGATACTGCTGATGGGCGTGCTGCTGTTTTAAGTGGGAAGTCGGAAGCGAGAACAAACAACGATTTCGAGCAGAATATTATCGGTCGTATATTTTCCTTTGTTGTCAAAAATTTTACGAAAATTATCAGTTTTTCCTAATATTAATACGCAAACTACAAGAAAAATCCAAAATGGCTTCCTTAATGCAACAACCGGATCAAAAATTTTACCAGAAATGTCTATCAAGTTTTTGATTGGAATAAGATTTCTGGTGAAAAGCTGTTTACGTATTTAATGCTGAAAAACCATCCACCTTCCCCCAACAAAGTGGTAAAATTCATATTTTTATTCAATTTAAATGTTATCATTTCAATCCAACAGTAACATAATTATTATCCGAGTGTAAGCTCATTTAATCGACAGAGAGCCGCTAAAAGTGTCCAAAAGTAGCGAAAATGTATGTATATTTTTATGTAAATATACGTATATAAAGACGAAATATAAATCTTTGTTTTTGCGGTGAATTTGACAAAAATCATATTTGAAAATGATCATTTCTGAATAGGAATTGTTAATAATGTCTGATAAAATTGTGTTACTTACTTTTTCCACTTTTTCCTCGCTGCCGGCAAGGTATGAATATCGTCTTTTACTAGATACACCCTTAAGCCAAGACAATGCGCCTGGCTAAAGTACTCCCATGACAACTGGTGTATGTCAAAGTTGAATAATATTTTATCTCGGCTATCGATGGTGTCCCATAATTTGATTAATCTATCGTTAACGAACACCCATTCTTTGTCTATGTAATAGTTCAATATATCGCGTACTTTATCGATCTTCTTATAAATTTTCATCAATCTAATTTAAATAAAAATCAAACAAATTGTATTATATTAGTCATTAATATTACGTTTACGTCAAATATCAGTTCTAGAAAAGACAAATATAAGTTTTCTGTCAAAATTTCAAGCCTCTACGAATATGTTTAACTGAATTACATAAAAAAAAATTTAATTTAAAATAATAAAAGAATTATTTTCGTAAATTTTCCCGTTCTTTCTACGTATTTTTCGGGTTTGCTAAATTATTAAAAATACTACATAGAAAATCAAAAAAAAAAGAAAAAAAAAAGCGAATTACTTATTCATGAACAAGATTAAAAATTCAACAAAAAATGTCTATTTTCGTTTTTTTATTGAAGCAATATTTATAGCAGAAAACATAAACTGTAAAATTTTTAAATAATGAAATCGTTGCGCCGTAATTTGAAAAATAAATTTTAGTTTTTGTCTGTTTTGGTTTTTTCAAATTATTATAAAAATTACTTTGGACATCACAAAATTACTTTCTCCGTCAATGGCTATAATATGTTAAAAGGAACAAAATTGATCTCTTGTCATTTTTCGATTTTTGGTAAAAAAATATCATGAATGAAAATTAAAAACAATGAAAACGGTAAGGCGCCGTAAATATTTGCTGTTTCTCCTACAATTTTCTTTCGGGTTTTCCCCAATTATTTTTAAAACTCTTTGGAAAATCAAAAAATAATATCTTTAATGAACTAACTAAAGAAAATTTAATTTCAGAAAAGTTGCTACACTCTACACACTGAAGCAAGATTTTTTTTCGAAAAGTTGTTTACAGACAGAAAAAAGAATTTTAAAAACTTCACACGTCATAGTTAAATCAATAGATTCCACGCTAAACTCCGAATCTAAAATAACTTTTTAAATCAAATTTAATAGTAGCACTAATATTTAGGAGTAATAAAATACAAGTACAATAATTATTTGTTCAAATACAAACTAACATTGGTTTTTCTCCAGCCAAAACAGCCACTGTGTCCAATATGTAACCGGGTACAATATGACAAAAAAAATTTAATATTACGTATAAAAACTGGTTGTTTGTGATCCATAACGAAAAGTACCAAATAGCACGAATCGTAGGCCAGTAAATACCATAACGTCGATTCATTTCGATGAATTCTGTCCATCTAATTGGTTTTTGCATTCCACTTGAACAAGTATAAATTGGGACATTGTTTTTTTCTCTGCAAATGAAACATAATATTATACGAGTGATTAATAAATCAAACTATACCATTGCATAATATGAATTAAAATCCATTACATAACAGAGACATAGTTATAAAAAAGAGTTGGTACTGTTAATAGTTACGCCATTGTTAAATGTGGGAAGTTAGGAAGGTAGGACACATAAAGTTGTTATTAATTTATATCTGTCAGCAACGATATACCGTTGCTAACGAAAACGATTTTGAGCAAAGTTCGTTAAAACATGATTTAAAAAACCGTAATAATTACGATTTCCATCATTATTTGATCTTTATAATCATTATATAAAAAAAAGGCTACATTATACTACTTTTTTTATTTTAACCATAACAAATATGAGTCATAACGAACTCCTGTTAAATTTTCAAACATTTCTGTTTGTCAAAAAAATGATTTCAGTATTAGTACGGCTTTTCAAATTGTATATAAGTGAATTTCTCTTAGAATCGTTTTTCATTAGCAATAGTTTATTGTTGTTTACAAAAATACATTAAATTCCCAACTTCTCACCTACAACAGTGGCACTCTGCTCTTTTTTCTTTTCTATCCAGGTTTTGTACTTTAAAGAAAATTACTTGTTCAACGCCGTTTCTTTGGTAGCACATATCAAAGCGTTCACAACGATATCGACCGGAGTCATATCGGTTATATTCTCTGGATTGGCATAGTAAGTATGGAGAACTCCAGTACCAGCTCCAACTGTAAGTCCAGTAGGACCGTACACATTATCAATCCAACCTCTCACCGGTTCTCGATAGGTAGCAATCACTTTACAAAAAATAGCATTATTCAAATATAGAAATTCATACAGATACAATAAAAAATCATTGTATATTTAATTATGTAAATCAATACAAAATACTCAAATTGAGTATTATTCATTAGTAGTAAGTAATATTAATAGTAGTATACTCTGAAGACTGGAAGGTACCCATATAAAGTCGTCACTCGATATCAGATAATTTAAAACGGTTATGATAATTTAAAGCGTATATGAAACTGTAAAGCGTTAATAAAATGTGTACACCTATAATACTCAAGTGCGTGTTTATCCTATTATAATGAAATAATATGAAAAACATAATAATTATATAACAATTGGTTTTTGAACACGTACCAATAGTGGGTCTGAACACCAATATGGGAAGATCGTACGCTTCTCTTCGAATGAGATCTTCTGCCAAGGATTTCGAGAACGAATAAGTATTCGGTAAATCCCCGATCAATCTTAAAACCATAATATAGTACGTTCAAATTCGACGGATAATATTATGTAAAAATGTTTGTTTCCTTACTCTTTAGTCATATTTTGCAATTTTTTATCGTCGGTAGTAGAAACCAATTCTAAAATATCTTTGTAGTCGGCTAGAGGTTCGTAGAATTTTTCTTCGACGAGAAGTCGGTTACAGTTTGCGAATGCAGTAGATACGTGCGCTATAATCTACAACGATTAAAGAAACGTAAGTAAAAATTCCGTAGAAATATTTGAACGTTTATAGCTACGTAAGTATTCGTAATAGAAACCCCGTTCGTTAATAAAAACTAGCTTGTACTAGCTACCTAGTATTTACCCTGTTACAATTATTTGTTTTAGATATTTATTTTCCGTTGACTATATACTCAACACATAGAGTATGTGAACGAATGTTATTTTATATACGAATTGGTAAGTATAATAACTACCCACATATAGAATGTATCATAGAATATCTTTTTGCGTGGCAGTTTGTTTGTAATATTATTACTACACCGTGACCTAATATTCAAATGTATTGTATATATACCGAGTGTCCCGATCATTGCGATATTTTGAAAGTATAATATTAACTTTTTCGGAATTTTTAATTTTTTTGGACGATTTAAGAAACAAATAGCTTTAAATTGTTATAATACCATAATTTATAAATATACGGAGAAATAGTTTGAATATATTTTGTTGTAGACAATTTTAATTTCCGTCAATCCGTATACATATATATTACACTTTTGATTTTAGGTAAGGGGGAGAATAGCGGATCATTATTCGAACGCCCAAATGATGCTCCAATACTTTCTCCCTACCAAAATTTAAAAGTGAATTATTTTGTCAACTGATTGGTGGAAATCAAAAATTCCAATACAAATATATATTTAAACTAATACTATAATATACTATTTATGCAATTTTGAATAATATAAGTTGTTGTTTGAAAATCCAACGTGTGCGGTCGGTTCATTCCCAAAAACAAGGGTGATAAAAAATAAAGCTAATATAACATTTCAGACCTACTTGTTCCTTAAATTGTCAAAAAAAAGTTAACGCTTTCCAAGATCTCGCAATGATCTTATCTTCGTGAGACATGCTATATATTCAAAACTAATATACGCGAGTACTACATAATATATAATATACTAATTTAAATATTTTAGAAATATTAAAATGCCGTGGTATCCTCATGTTTTGTCCCTGTCTTACAAACGTAGGACATAGAAAATTTTCGGTCAGCAAAGACCACTATGTGCTGTTAGCTTAAATATTTAAGTGGATTAATCTATTGTCAAACATAAATATAAGAACAATACCTATGCTACTGTGTCAGATTTTTCTCGATATTTAAAGTTCTAAGCGAGATATTAGCTTCAGAAATATTATGGTTTAAAAGTTCTTAAACCTATCTGATACAGGCTACAATTTAAAATACCGACGTAGTTGCATAGTTAATGCTCTCATCTTTTGGTTTGACGATAGGTCAATTCACTCTAATATTAGAACTAATAGCACAGATACAGAGTTATCCCTGACGAACGCTAATTTGTTATTTTAGATAATACGTTTGTAAGACAGAAACAAAACATGCAAGTACCACGTTCTTTTAAAAAAAATTAAAATAGATACACAAATTACTATTCGATTATTTAAATTATATCGGTTAACCAAAAAAAATTGTTTACATTCATTGAAAAAAAATATCAGAGAATACAATAAAGTAGCAAATAGCTACTAAAAATAAATAGCAAATTACAATAGTTTATTGAGTGAAAATAATGGCATTTAACTATTTAAAAATCAACAAAAATGATGGTGTGAATGGAATATTATAACTTTAAATTGACAAAATTATTAAAAATATTTCGAGCGTTCCAGAATCAAGTTTTCTAAATGTAATAATATACAGGAACGTCATTTCACATTTTATCATGAAATGCAACACCAATATTGAAAATTTAAATCGTAATTATCAATTTTGAAATACAAAATGGGAATTCTCGTATTTTAAATTCCGAAATCCGGACTTTCCGTATTTATGTCACATTCTTACGTATATACATATTTTCTATTACATTAATGTTTAAAAGTTATCTTCTAAGCTTTAATTTAGAAAAACTATCTATACAATAACTTTATTTCATAGTGTACTATCAAGATTATATTATGTTATGTCTTCTAATACTGATAAAATTATAGGCCAAACACAGTAATTAAACCACAAAACTGGGACTTATGAAATCGGTGATAATCCAAGTTTAATATTTAAATCACTAAAATATTGTAATCAAACCAAAAAAAAATAGTCTAGTCAAATTACAAAATGATTTTTGTATACTATAAAATATAAAGTATAAATTTTATAAAACTATTTACACATTTTAAGTTTATTAAATAATAGACGGACATACTTTGCGCAATGGGTAGGCACTGTTGTAGGTGTGAAAAGTTGAGACGGTAGGGCATATAGAGGGAAATTGAATGTAACTAACTATATCTGTATTTAATGATTAATCATTGCTAACGAAAAACGATTCTGAGCGGAGTTCAATTATGTATGTTTTGAAAAGCCACACAATTTTCGTCAAAATTTAATATTAAAATAAATTAATATAAAAAAAAAACCTACTACATTAAACTCTATTTTTTATTTTTTTGACTACTAAGTAAAACTTATAATAAACCTACTGTTACATTTTCAAGCATTTCTGTTTGGTCGTTAGTTTTATATTTTTATCCATAGAGTACCTACCGAATAAAAATTACATAAAAACCTCGCAAAATTAAAATTTCAATTAACAGCTCAAAGATGACTAAAATATTTTTAAAATTCTATCAGATAAAAAAAAGGCAAATATAAGTTTTCTGTACAAATTTTAAGTCTCTATGAATATGTTTAACTGAATCACAATAAAAAACAAAATTGAAAATAATTTATTTCGTACATTATTCCTGTTTTTGCTACGTTTTTTCCAATTTTTTCCCAATTATTATGAAAACTGCTTAGAAAATTAAAATAGACCTAAATAAAACCTCTTTCAGAAAAGGTGCTATACTTGATACATCGGAGCAAGGTTTCTGGTAGAATTTATGTACACAAAATAAAAAATAATAATAAACATCATTGTAAAACTCGTTCCACTCAGAATATAAAATTCACGAGTTGCATTTATATACCTTTGCATACCGCAAATTACACCACTGCTAATGTAGCTAAACAGAGTTTTTATTTAGATGAATTGAACTACAGGTTAAATATCGATATTATCCTAAACTCTTTTAATTTATTAAATAATTAATTACACATTGATTAATTTATCACCTTCAAATTAGTTATTTTCCTCGCCAAATTTAGTATTTCTTTAGTTCCCGACACATTTATGTTCATGGCCACGCGAATGTGTTCGTCAAAGCGAACAGTGGCGGCTCCGTGAAAAACGATGTTTACTTCATTGATTATTGTATTTCGACTGCTGACACTTAATCCGAGACCCGGCAAACCGCAGTCACCAGCCATCCCAGAGACTTTGTCATAATATTTGGGTACTTCATACTTTAATCGTTTAAATAGCTAAAATAAATTATTATTTTGTGTTATATATTTATTTTAAAATAATCGGAGAGGAGGAGGGTAGTGTAGATTATTTGTATTAATTGTTTTCTTTGGAAAATTGTATATTTTTATAATTTATATCACTTTTTTTTTAAAATGTGTAAAATAAAATAAATTCAAATTTAAAGACATGTAATAATATTAAATTGTTTACTCTATCTTCGAAAATATCTTCCAGTCGTTGGTCGACGTTTTTGCCTTTTTTCGACCGGATCAACAGATATATGTGCTTGATGTGAGGACACGATCTCAGTAATTTTTCTAGCAACACCTTGCCCATAAAACCCGTGCCGCCGGTCAACAATACCACCGCATCCCGAAAAAATTCCTGTATCGGCGTGCCGATCTCGGACTCGTCCACTTCGCGAGGCTCGTCGAAGTTCCGTTCTCCCAGAAGCTCCAGTGGATCTAAATAATACTTAGAATTTACAATATCTTTGATCGGCTCTAACGGTGCACTTTCTTGTTTTTTCTCGATGTATTGACGATGTAAGTCAAGTGCCATTTTGATGAATATTTGTGTAGATCATCAACGGCTATCTATATATAAAAAAATACATAAATCACTAGCAATAAAAAAAAAAACATAGGTCTATAGTCCATAATAATCTGAGTATCTTCGGGAAATGTTACATTACAGATTATGAAAACTAAATTCCAAGACAAACCAAAATATTGGTGTTGACTTCAAAACAATATTAATATAATAATAATATTGGAAATTAATTATGTGTGTATAATATGTATGTGTGTATTTCTTAAAATATCGATATACTCAAAATATGATACAGATTACAAACACTGCATGTGATATTCACTTAGTTTAATAAAATATAAACTAAATACGAGTTTACCCATCTACGTTAGTTTATACCTACTCGTATTTTTATTATGATTTTTTAAATAATTGTTTTTAAGTTAAATCAACACGGTTTTATAATTTTCAAAATATGGTATGCATTTACAAGTATTTAGTTCTTACCTATTTGAAAACAACTGTTAATGGCTGTAAATAATCTCAGAACGAAACGTCTATAACAGAAAACTTCAACGGAATGCCAGTGAGCTCGAAGACTAAATTTCTAGCGTCGCAGCATATGTTGTATTGAAGCCGTTCATAGCCTTCAATAAACACGAGTCAAGCCACGTATTGGAGAGGGAGCAAACCAGGATTTGTTCCCCCCAACAAATAATTGTATTTAAATATTCACGTTAACAAATGTTGCGAAATTTGATGTAAAAGAAGAAACAAAACCCGGTGAAAGGAGAAGAATATAATTCTCTACTCACAATAATGACTCAAATACGATATTGCATCAGACTTCCTGATGTCCACAAAATTCTTGCGGGTACTTCATAATATATTTTCTTTCCATCGACCACTTATACAGTAGCAAGTTTGCAACTGTGAGATATTGTATACTGGGAAAATGACAACTGATAACCGGGTGCAGAACCTCAAGATCTTACAACGTTTGAAACAACTGCGTAAATTATACAGAAGCAGTAATTTTGCAAGGAGTTTAAAATAATAATAATATGGTGTTTTTAATTAATGATATGTAATAATATGGAACTTTGAAGAGAAAATTATAAAAGAACAGTATACTAAATGGTCGTAAAACTTTATCCACTCAAAAAAAACAATTATCACACTGGGTACTATAAACAGACAAAAATTATAAAACTTATTGATCTGAAGTAACACAGGTAAGATAATTGTTTTAAATTATAATTACATTACGTTATATTATACTTTTGTTTTAAATCAGAGTCAAGTATACAGTAGGTAGCCACTAGAGTAAGTATATAGTAACTGTAATAGGTACTATTATTTTATAATTATTATTATAAAGAATTTTATCATCGAATAAAAATGTGTACACTGACACAATAACGTCATATTATATCAGAATTCTTTACATAATTTTACTAACAGATTTAATCGAATTTATGAATTCACTTGTGTTCGACAATCGAAAAATTCGAAACGTTACACAATAATACAATACCTATTAAATATATAATTTATGCTAAGTATTTATATTTTTTCATAATGTATAACAGGTAGTTACATGGTCGTGATCGTATATTTTGGCTACATTCCAATTGAGAATATTATACATTAACTCACAGAGAAATCGATTTTTCATTTTAATTATTATTTCAATCGACTAATTATCACTTAAACAATTGCGTGCGATTAACACAACGGTGTTAATTTTATACATTAAACATAGGCGGTAAATATCACCAAAACAAAATTAATGCTGATACATTGTAAAACTGCGAAAAAGTGAAATGAGTTAGTGTTATATATTAATACAGGTAGGTAATAATGCACAAACTATTTAAATAAAATGTATAAATAACGAACACACGCACACATCGCATTCAACTCGAGAAAACATTCTACTTTGGAAAGTGTAGAACATTAGCGTGGTGAACATTTATGAAAAATGATGCACAACATATATTTAAACACTCACCCCACATCCTTCATGAAATATTAGTAATTTGTTATTATTAATATTTTTTATTATCCATTTGGACAAATGACATTAAGTCAATCAACAAGGAAAACAAACAAGTACCTATAGGCTTTGAGTACCTACGAGTATATTTTATAAACTCATTATCTCAATTTTAAAAACACCCCAACATGATATTCTTCACCCTCTTGGTATTCTTCATCGCGCTCCTGGTGGTATAAACAAATCGTGCGCCAATTTTATTGCCAGTGTCAATGTCAATGGTCTGGCTAAAATTGATTGTATAAGAGATTAATTAGAATTAGTTCAGTCACGTCTAGAGACCATCTGTGGGTTTCACTGGTTTCTCGTTGAAAAGCCTATATATATATATATATTTGGTTCTAGGTAAAAATGTCCGGCTTGTACACTATAACTAAATAACAAGAACTAACCCACGTCGATAGGAACGGATTTTACTTTTACAATGATATTTATAACTTCTATTGGATTTACTTTAATATTTACGATGGTAATTATAATTTCAATAGGTTTTACTTTTATTAGATCCGATATTATGAAGAGTTGTACAGTTTGTACAGTTTTATTTTCACATTGTGTACAATTGTCTATTTTGATTATATATCAGCATTCAATATTGATAAATAATAATACGATTTATTTATTACTTTACACTGACATCATTCTCTAATCGATTGATTTTTTTTTTTTGACAATTTGTAACATACCAACTGTATAGTTATGTTTTGCAAAAATTAATTTTAAATCTCAACGTTAAAGTTTTTTTTTTTTTTTAATTTTACGATTTTGCGTTATTTTTATTTTGGAACATTTGAATTGCATAATGTCTACTCATGAATTAATCAAATCGAAATAGGTATTCTTATACCATAAAACACAAATTATCCACCACACTGCGTTGGCGATGTGTGAAAAGAAATGTATTAAACTTCAAATTTTATCAAATGCAGATTTTTTAAAAACCCTTGGAAAAGAAAGACTTTTTTTTTTATTTCACATATTTCCACATATTTTGATGTAAGTACATATATTAAAATATTATATCAATAAGTACACATTTGGTAAATATTTTGCACATTCATAATATGTAGCTACCTATTAAATTTAACAGAAATATTGACACTAACCATTATTATATAAAAAAAACTGTCCTAGGATAATGAGGACGGGTGCAGCCACTCTTATAGGTAATTTAATGTATATCTGTGAGCAATGATAAACCATTGCTAACGAAAAAACAATTTTGAGCAGAATTCAATTGATAGTGATGCTTTGTTAAAAATATATAAATGTCATATTATAGTAAAACATTTAAACAGGCATTGTATATTTTTTTTTAATAATATTTGTTTAATATTGTACTGATTTTTCCGTTTTTCTCGGTTTTTCAGTGTTCTTTCCATTTACTGAGAAAACTCTTGGGAAAATCGAAAAATGACCTCTCTAAAGTACTTCCTCAGTCAGATATCCTTCCAGAAAAAGTCTTACCATTGTAAATCGTCAAATTTGTCAACAAAAAAAGAAACCGCAAATTTCACTAATGTATTTTGTACATTTTCCCGTTATTTCTCCCTTTTCTTTGCGATTTTTTCCATTTATTGTGAAAACTCTTGGAAAAATCAAAAAATGACCCCCCCAAGTTATCATGGAGATAAAATTACCGTTCAGAAAATAAGCTACACTTGATACATCGGAACAAGATTTTTGGTAAAAAAGTGTGCACAATAAAGTAGGGTATTTTGCGATTAAAATAGTCTAAGCGAGCGATGGCTTAGGTCTCTAGGTACATCCAAAATGCATTTTTTTTCCTTGTTTAGACAAAAGGGATAAAACTGCAAACGATTTTTTTGCGAACTCGCAGATCCTAGGATGAACAGGTATTTATAACCATACAGCTATGACAAACATACACTAGAGAAGACAATATTTAGTTATTTAACATATAATATCTGCATAATATCAGAACGTCAAAAAGCTATAATTTCGAAACTTAGTCAGTCCATTCAATTCTGACTTCACAATCGTTCTTAAATCGGCAATATACATATGTTCAAAAAATTGAAAAATTAAATTTATTCCACATAATATTTTACTCAACGATTTTCGTCAAATTTGTATATTAAAATTCTTTTATAAAAAAAAAATACTACATTGAACTCAAATTTTCTTTTTTGACCACAAAGTAAGACTCTTAATGAACTTCTTCTTAAATTTTCAATCATTTCTATTATGTCTAAAAAATTTACCACAGAATACTTACTGAATAAAAATTACGTGTAAAACTCGCAAAATTAAAATGTCTATAAATATTTACCCATTTTAAATTTTGTGTTACATAAAAATCCGTGTCCTAAATATTACCGTACCTACGTATAATAGTAATCACAATGTCATAGAGTAGTATCTTATTATCGTAATATAAAACGTTCACTCTTTCTGTATGGAGATTGTTTTACAGGCGATATAATATGTATTGTCCTGTTCGAGGACCGCGGGTATCTATACTTAATTTTTGTGGATCATAATCATAAAGTTCAATCATAATGATAACATTTATATTGACAAAAACAATAACCCTGACCTAGTATTATAAAATTATTTAATCTTTTTATATACACTTTTTAAAATGTATAGTAAATTAAATCGTCTATAGAATGTAAATATTATAATAATAGAATAAGTACAAATAACATAATAGTTGATAACAATAACTATATCCTTTATACAGCGTTCGATAATATTATTATAACGACGATAATAATTAGAAAATTGTTGAAAACAATACTTCTAGACGTTCTAGCTAGGACAATATAGACATTGGAAATATGAATCAATATAATATAGACATTGGAAATATGAATCAATGTAATATAGACATTGGAAATATAAATCAATGTAACGATTAAGAGATTTCCGATTATACAGTTTTTCGTTTTCATCTAGACAGAATCCGAATTACGATGATTTCGGAGAACACGAATTACATGAAGCCCATACAGACTATAGATTATAGAGTAATATAGGGGCGTTCCATATCTCCGCTGTAAAAAGTTTGTGTCACTAAAGTTGGAAGGCATTTAACTCCTAAATTGTCTGTTATGTATGCATCAGGATAACATCAATATTTATAATATTAACTTATATTAACTCATAGGCACAACTAGGGGATGATAGAGGTCTTTAGCACCCCCAAAATTACCCAATACGCTTTTTTATAGTATCGACTAAATATGTTATTCATGTATTTTATAATTAATAATCAGGACAAAATATCGATTACCTATAGATGACAATATGTCTGTGTATAAAAAAAAAACTCAAAAAGTTATTATACATTTTATATACAAATTGTAAATGAAATGTGCAGTTGCTTATTATAGGTGTCGAGTAAAAGGGATTGTTGAGACGATGAAATAACATGTCCATAATTTAAGACCCCTAAAATTGTTGGTCTAGTTGCGCCTAAACAGATATTACTAAACATCAATAAAATATATACACGATCGACGACAAACCATAGACTATTATTATATATTATAATTAGACTATATTAATAAATAAACTGCACCTTCTACACACCCTGTCTATGTCTCCATGAGACACCAACATTGTTAGAAAAATATCAAAGAAATTATACATGTATATGAAAGAGATAAAGTATAGTTTAAGAAAATCATAAAAAAAAGAGATATCTTAGAATGACAAGCAAAATTTGGAGATGTGATAATATAAAATATTATAATATAATAATACTTTAATAATGTAATACTTTTCTT